ACTTTACATGGAGAATAAAATCCCTTCATTACCGACTTCATTGTCAAAAAGAGTAACCAATTTTTAGTAGTTATATATCTGTCAATTTCATTTGTGAGAGGATCTATCTCCCAGCATTGTCGCCTATATTTATATTTTTATTACACACATCTGATCTGACCGCTAGAGCCTGGAAAGGATATTGAAAAAAAAGAAGAAGAGTTTCAAGCTTCTATTGGATCATTGTTTGTTGTAGAGCAAAGCCACACTGGACTATATCTGTGTTCACCGTGGGGAATCGAACTCCGGATTTTAGGTTTGTAAGTCCGTAGACTTACTGCTGTCCCTATAAAATTAATCAATTAAAACATTTGAGTGAGCGTACTTTGGATAATTAGCAAATTAAATTTTAGTTATCAGTAAGATTGTGTTAGAATTTTATTAAATGTATATTTTTATTTGTTTTAGTAACCAAACATGTCTGGCGAAGAACCAGCCCAGTTTTTTCTACGTATTTCTGCTTTAACCGTAAGTATTACTTAATATTATTATATGACAGTCAATCATAAATATAGTATGATGTTAGTGGTTTTATATTATGTATTTCTATGTAATTATATTTTTAGCTTCTTTTATATCTTGTTTGGTTTGATATGGTTAAATGCAGTATGCAGTAGTGTAGTGATATAGAAAAGAAATGGTTATACTAACCTTAATAGAAAGAGGTTATGCTCATTATTAAACGCGCTAGAGTCGCTTTATATAAGTTGGTATATTACATGGCTTTAAATCTTTGTTTAGCTAGGATTTGCTTATCACACGAGAATAGGAGTGAGTAAACGCTTTATTCCTTAAATGAGAAGTGAGTAAACGCTTTATTTCTCAAATACGAAATAAGTTAGCACCACATTCCCGAAATGAGAAGTGAATAAACTCAGTTTACCCTATTTTTACCCTCGACTACACTACTGACAGTCTGTGACTTTATCCACATGACAGTTTTCAAAATGTACTTATCTTTAATATATTCTACAACAAGAGCTACATGGTAGATGTAACTCAACATAGGGATTTGAAACAACCTGTATGACGTAAATCTAGCCTATGGGTGAAAATTTCGCGTACAATCATAAAGGATCATGGAGAGCGTACATTAATGGTTTCTGGAAGTGGCTTTGGGGTCACCACACATAGTTATTTATAAGTTAGACAAGTATAGAAAAACAGGATGGAACAGAAAACCGCTATTTTGTCGCTAGCTGCGGAAACACAATGCGTTGTTATGTTCGGAACAAAGGATCATGTTGGTGGGGATTTAACATTAAAATAGCTATTATACTAAGGCAGCACTCAGGTATACTGCTGTTTTTGTCAGTAATGTTTTTAGAAAGATCTAATATCTAGGAAATGTAGCTTACTGCTCAAAGGTAGAGCATCCACAGTCATCAGTAAACACTATTCAGAGGTATTTGCATACCAATGAAGACATTGCTGCTGGATCATCCATGGTGAAAACAATGGCCAGTTTAACTCGTCAGATAAATTTCTAATGTGAAAATATTCCTCTGTACCATCCAGAATCTTCAGTAGTTGCGAGTAAGTGACTATGAATTCTGAAAAAACATTTGCAACGGAGCTTAAGGCGTATTATGAAAATTGCCCATAGGGCATTCTATAAACAGATGAGGCCCATTTCCTTTTTATGGGCATATGCATACCTTTAAACGTGTCATTCAATTCAGTTAAAGTTCACCGGGCACAGAAGACCGACTTTTGCATCCCCCAATGGTGTGGTTTCACTGCACTTTTATGCTAGAGCCATTCCTTGAGGAACAAACATTCCGGGATTTCTTCATATGTGCATAGTGACTGGCTAACGTTATCTTATGGTGTTGTATATTTGCGTCATGTCCAAAATTCCAACAGTGTAGAGAAGTCAAGGATGTCACATTCTTGACGAACTAACACATGGTAAAATACATGCTTCTGCAGACTATGTTCACGGTCATTATTTCCATCGTATCTTATCTTCACGCTTTCTTGCCCCAACCAATGCTAAGTACTGATTATTGAGCTTTCTCAAGATGGAGCCTATTGCCATAACCTGGCAGCCATTCAAATTATGGAAAAACATTAAGACAGAGGTTCGAGCTATTCCTTAGGAGATTATACCTACTACGACATCGAGCACCATTGTCAGGATGGACTCAATAATGGAAAACGACGATAGGAAAAATTAAACAGTTGTCATATCTTCATTCCCTAGTACTATATCAAGAAGCCAATGGAGTGTACTCTGTGTTTATTTGTAATTAAGCACAAAGCTACACAATGGGCTATCTGTGCTCTGCCTACCCCGGGTATCGAAAGTCCGTAGTCATACCGCTGTGCCACTGGGGACTGTATTCTGTGATTCTTTCTGCATGTAAAAAACGTATATTCCGCGAGTGCGTTATACAGTTCACTCTACAGACTGTTCTAAATACTCATACTGACTTTGCAGTCACTTTATAGATACCAACATTTCTCATAAACCGCATTTGACTCTTACTATTTGAGAAGTTAGCCATGACTGTTTTTTGTTCATCATTGTTTAAAAGCCAGTTTTCTATAACAAAAGTTTTAATAACTGTTTCTTTTTAGATATTTATTTAATTATAAAATTATTCATTAGATTAGTAAAGTTTGTTTGGAATTAAACACAAAGTTACACAATGGGTTATCTGTGATCTGCCCACCACGGATATCGAAACTCGGTTTCTAACGTTGTAAGTCCGCAGACATACTGCTCTTCCACTGGGGGACAAATTAGTAAAGACAGCGATATAAATAAATAAACCATTCTTCTATTTAGGCTTTATTATTTTTTTACTAAGATATTTTTCTGGTAGAGCACTATTCATTCCACACATTACCATTTCAATCTTTCATTTTAGTTCATTTTCCGAATATTTTGGTGCTGGGAACGGCATTATTTTATTTTGTCTCAGATTAGGGTGGGCATGTCCTAGCGGTCAGCGTATTTGAACTGTGAATATAGGAATTTATGCTTTGCAACCCATTGCCACATTTTGGGACCACGGGTGCGGCTATAAGAATGGTGGTGAAATCCAACTATTTAATCCAAAAAAGTAGCCCAAAAATTGTGTATCAGTTCACAATTAGGGACGATTATGTTCTATAGCTTTTGTGTAGCATTGAGCGAAATTCTAAAACAAACAAACAAAAAAGTTCTAGTAGAAGGAGCAAGAATTACCCACTGTGTATGGACCGTACGAAAGCAATCTCTTAGATTTATTTTACAGTTTGCTTAAATATTTGCATACAAAGTCTCGTGTGATTTTCCAAACGGAATAGTTTTATTTTGATTCTTTTTCTTGTCGATTGCAAGCTACATTTTCAAGTGAAAACGATCTCAGTGGATGGCATACAGTTTTTCAATATGAATGAGGTAAAAACTGTGAAAGTAATATACTGTCAAAGACGTTACAAAATATATTGAAAGGTACAGTATGATTAGAGCTGCTCAAGTGGAGAACACTACGTGACCACAAAATCTCATTTCGATTCCGAATTTGAGCGGTAAAAACATCGTATATGCTGTATAAATATTTCATACCTATCGTCATTTGTACCGACATTTCTGCTTGCCGGGTATTAAAGTTAATCCCGCTATGTTGCACACAGCTGACGAAGAGGGCATCGCGGCTTGTGACAGAGTTCCGATAGCTCATATGTTTATATTGAGACGTTGGTTAAAAT